TCCCTCCTTCCCTCCCTCCCTCCCTCCCTCCTTCCCTCCCTCCCTCCCTCCTTCCCTCCCTCCGTCCCTCCTTCCCTCCCTCTCTCTTTCTCCCTCTCGCTAGTTCGCCACTGTCTATAAGGCCAGGGACAAGACCAATAACCGAATCGTGGCTATTAAGAAGGTGAGTGTCAGAGTGTCTTCTCAGTGTGTCACCAAGGGTCTGGTTCCTCTTGACCTGCGTAACGACTTTTTTTTTTTTAACTGGCTTAATGGGTAGTGGGATGATATGCATTTTTGTTTCCAGAGTGTTTGGTTTAAATGATCTGGTTCACGTGTCTGTAATGCCCACCCCACCCTGGAAGAGAGAGTGGCTTTGCTATGTTTTTGAAAGGTTGTATGACCTATAACTTGAATTTCTGGTTATTTGTTAGGTATATTCCCAAAAAAACTCAAACACCAAGCAACACACACACATTTCCAAACTGTAGACTTTACTAGACCTCGATAGTGGCTTTCTTTAATTTAATGTTATTTTAAATCTTTTCTCATGCTGTGCCTAATTTCCTTCAGTCCATAGTGTTACTTCTGATTAAGTTCCTTAGAACTTAGAGAATCATATAATATGCTGAGTTGGAAGGGACCTACAAGGATCATTGAGTGCAGCTCCTAGCCCTGCAGAGGACCATCCCCAGGACTCATACCATGTGCCTAAGAGTATTGTTCAAACGCTTCTTGTACTCTGTCAGGCTTGGTGCTGTGACCACTTCCCTGGGGAGCCTGTTCCAGTGCCCAACCACCCTCTGGGTGAAGAACCTTTTCCTGATATCTAACCTAAACCTCCCATGACTCCATTTCATGCTGTTTCCTTGAGTTCTGTCACTGGTCAAGAGAGTGAAATGATCAGTACTTGCCCCCTCCACTGCCCCTCATGAGGATGTTGAAGACCCCAATGAGTTTTCCCGTCAGTCTCCTCTTCTCTAGGCTGAACACACCAAGTGACTTCAGCCACTCCTCATAGGGCTTCCCCTCAAGGCCTTTCACCATCTTCGTTGCCCTCCCTTGGATGCTCTCTAACAGCTTAATATCTTTCTTATATTGTGGCACCCAAAACTGCCACAATGTTCAAGGTGAGGCCACCCCAGTGCAGAGCAGAGCAGGACAATCCCCTGCCTTGACCAGCTGGCGATGCTTTGCCTGATGCCCTCCAGGACACGGTTGGCCCTCCTGGGTGCCAGGGCACTGCTGACTCATATTCAGCTTGCCATCGACCAGGACCTCCAGGTTCATTTCCGCGGAACTGCTTTTCAGCATCTCATTCCCCAGTCTGCACATACCTCTGGGGTTGCCCCATTCCAGGTGCAGAATCCAACACTTGACCTTGTTCAGCTTCATACAGCTGGTGATTGCCCATCTCTCTAATTTGTCAAGGTCTCTCTGCAGGGCCTGCCTGCCCTCGAGAGAGTCAACAGCTCCTCTCAATTTAGTGTCACTGGCAAACTTACTTAGTATTCCTTACGTTCTGTGTCCAAGTTGTTATGAAGCTGTTGAAGAAAAATGGACCAAGCATGGAGCCCTCTGGAACCCCACTGCTGAATGGATGTTACACCATTCACTATGACCCTCTGAGCCCAACCCGTGAGCCAGATGTTCAATCATCTTGTAACATGGTTATCCAGCTGTGTACTGGACACTTTGTCCAAAATACTATGGGAGACAATATGAAAAGCTTTGCTGAAATCCAAAAAGATTACATCAACTGGCTTTCCTTGATCAACTAGCTGGGTTACCTCGTCATAGAAGGAAATCAGGTTTGCTAAGCAGGACTTTCCTCTCATGAAACCATGCTGGATGTGACCAGTGACTGCATTGTCTTTCAGGTGTTTTTCAGTACTTCTCAGAATAATGTTTTCCATAACTTTACCAGGCACTGAAGAGAGACTGACAGGCCTGTAGTTTCCAGGGTCCTTCTTGCCCTTCTTGAAAATCGGGACAATGTTTGCCAGCTTCCAGTCAGCGGGGACCTCTCTGGAATTCCCAAGACAGTTCAAAAATAATTGAGGGAGGTTGTGCAATGACATCAGCCAGCTCTCTGAGGATTCTGGGATGAATCCCATCAGGCCCCACACATTTGTAGGCATCCAGCTGGAGCGGCAGATCCCACACAAGTTCAGGGACAACTTGGAGTTGATCATTCTCACAGTCATGGGTCTCCAGCTCAGGGCACTGACACCCCCTTGGTCCATCATCCGTGTTGAAGACAGAGACACAGAAAGCGTTAAACACCTCTGCCTTGTCCCTGTCCCTGTTTAGGAGGTGACCATCCTCATCCTATAACGGGCTGGTGATATTTCTATACTGCCAGTTACCATTAATGTATTTGAAAGAACTCTTTTTATTGTCCCCCACATTTCTGGCCAGCTTCAACTCCAGTTGAGCTTTGGCAGCACAAATTTTCTCCCTACAGTAGCAAGCAGCATCTCTGAATTCTTCCTGTGTCACTTGACTTTGCCTCCACTGGGCATATACACCTTTCCTTTTTGCCTTATTTCCAAGAGAAGATTCCGGCTCAGCCAAGCCAGCCTTCTGCCTTGCCTGCTTGATTTCCGACATTTGGGAATTGCTGCTCCTGTGCCCTATGGAGGTGAAGTTTAAAAAGTGACCAGCACTGATGGACCTCAGCACCGGCAAAAACATTTTCTCAGGAGACTTTCCCAATTCCATGAGCAGCCTGAAGTCCACTCTCCTTCATGTCCAGAGTTGAGGTTTTGCTGGCACTTTTGTTCCTGTCAACAGAGATTTTACACTCAATCCCTTTGCGGTTGCTGTGGCCAAGATGGCCACCAATCTCCAGTTTGCTCACAGGATCCACTCTGTGAACAAACAGCAGATCAAGGAGGGCATCTTTCTGAGTCAGGTCCCTTAGGACTTGCTCCATAAAGTCATCATCCAGGTTTTTTAGGAATTTTCTGGCCCAGGTTGTACCAGGTGTGTGATGCTCTCAGTTAATTTCTGGCAGGTTGAAGTCCCCCATAAGGACCAGGGCAGTTGACTTGGAATTGTACTTAGTTCCTCCAGGAATAAGTCATTGGCGTCATCATCCTGGCTGGGAGGTCTGTAGCAGATTCCCACAATGACATCCACATTATATGCTGGCCCCTTGATTCTTACCCAGAGGCTCTCAACTGTGCCACTGCCCACTGTGAGCTCCATACATTCTAACACTTCTATTACATACAGTGCCGCCTCTCCGTCTCTTCTGCCCTGCCTATCCCTCCTGAAGAGCCTGTAACGATCCAGCAGGGCACTCCAGTCTCAGAATTCATCCCACTGGGTTTCACTTACACCAATGATATCAAATCTCTGGCATTGTAGCCAACACCTCATGAACTAGATTGAGAGATATCATTAGTGCTTGTTTCCTCAAGTTTGTGCACACCTTCCCATGGTGTATCATTGGCCTGTGAGCCTGGTCTTGTCCCTTTACCCCTTCCAATCTCATTTAAAGCTGTCAACAAGCCCCACTAGTTTCTGTCTTTCAGGGCTTCCCTCAGGACCCAGGGCTTTCACCACCACCTTGACAGATCAGGACTACAACCACCACTTTGACCAAAAAACATCGAAATTGCAACAACCAAGTCTCATTGGTGGATCCAACAGGTGTCTTGCGGGTCCTTCCAGTCTCCTGGGGGATCCACAGCCCTGCTCCAACTGCCTGTACTGGCACTGCAGCCTCACTCCAGCACCACACAAGCATCTCCTGGTATCAAATCTCAGTTATCTACCATTTCCTGCCAGCACTGACTCTGCAACCATTCCTGCCAGGTTTTCTAGGTGTGGGGATAGCGAAACACGTGGAGGGGCGGCCTTCTGGTCTCTGTCCTGTGGCCACATGTGTTTTTTCCAGGTTGAGGAGGCTGGCTGCCATTTTCATTTGACCTGGTGGGCAGAGCTGGGAAGTTTCTCCTCATCAGTTGGTTTAAATTAGTTTTATCAGTATTGTTATTAGCATTTCTTCTTGGTAAAGAGGTACTTTTTCACTTGCATCCAGGTGTATTTGGTCTCTCTGTACTGGAGAAACCAGGGGTATTGAGTCCGAGGGATAAGATTTGTCTGAGGTCTTCACCCCTCCAAATTGTCTCAAACCAAGACACACAAAAATGATAAATGTGTCACTGAACTTGAAAGTATGTTCCCAGTTACTCCTTCTTTCTTCATGCAACCTAAGCAACTCATCTTTGTATTAACAACAGTTTCCTCTTCTATCTCCACAAAGACCAGGACGTATGGCCACTTCACTAAATTTTAAAAAATATACAAGTTTTCTACATTCTTTGATTTTTAACGTTAAAAATCTATGCAAACACCCTGTTTGAAAGCATTTTCTCCACTATTCCCCAAAGCCTGCTTGTTAATACTACTGTCCTGTTCAGTAATAGCCTTTCATAAGCTTTAAGCTGTTTGAGACTTACAAGAGACCTAAGACTGCGCAAATTTCATGTATGCTACAATGCTTAATCACAACAGGCTGCAGTCCCAATGGCAGCCTGAGTGATATCACAATACAGTTTAAATGCTTCGTGTACCAGAGCATCATGTAGTACAAGAGTATTTAATTCTTCTTTGTATACTGATCTTCTTCAGCTCTAAATGTTGCATAGTTACTATGTAAACAGCATAAATCCTCTAAAAGTCTACTCTTTACTAACGTCTATTAGCACAAACCTGACCTAACCTTTTCAAGTCTTGCATTCATCTAGGTTTCGGCAAGCCTGTCAGTATTTCCTTTTAATAATTCAAATGCTACCCCCAGTTCTTAGCAGCATACTAAGACAACATCAATTTCAGTTCAGAGTAGATATCTTGTGTGCATATGCAGATCTGTCATGCATTGCTGTCTAGGACAGTCTTCCAAAAATGAAGATTCTCACATTAAAATGTCTCATACAAAGACTTAGGCAAAGACAAAGGGATTTTTGGTCTTGGAGAATGAAACATCTGTAAGATATTGATTTGCAATTACCTCGCATTGCTACATTTGAAAAAAATGTTTCAGGTACATGCAATTTTAATACCAGCTCATCACTTGGTATATTTCTGAACATGTTTGATATTATGTTTAGCAATTGCACTCCAAGAAGCTGATCTATGACTGAGGTTCTATGCTCTGACTGGAGTCATAGAAAACTAACATAGTAAATACAGTGTGTTTCTTGAAGATCATGATGACAAGTATTTAAAAGTAAAGGAACTAATCAAACAAGAACTCACAAAAACTGAAATTACTCAAACTACTATTAAGAGACAATCTTCATCAACTAACATAATCAAAGTCACCTTTCTAAATATGGGCAAATATAAGCCTGATAAAATAGCATTTTCACAAACCATCTTAAGATACTGAAAAAAAAAGTCTTTAAAAAAATCTTACCTCTAGATCTGTTTCCATAAAATCAAACACCAAGCTAATATTGGACTTGTGTCCAAATGCATCTATGAGCTGCAAAACAAAATACACTATGATTAAGCATGCTCTCATGCTTCCAGTTTTCTGAAATTCAACATCACTGTAGACTGTATGTGGATTTTCAGCTTTTTGAGAACTGGTTTAAGTTTTTTGATTTGCAACACAAAAATTCTTACTCAGTTCAGCTTCTTAACTCAGTCTTCAAAAACTCAGAAAAAAATCCCCATTAAGCATGGTAATAACATTTTACACCACAATTGCCCCTCCTCCCTGGAGATAGGGAAAAAGAGAAAGAATTAACTTTATCTTACACTACAACTAGTGTAATGCACACCTTGTCCTCTCCCCAAACTTCACTGTTCTACAAAACTTCTACCCTTTATTAAGTACATGACTAAGTTTGCCCATGGATTCAACTCTGGGTATCTGCTTCATGTAAGTATTCTAAGTGTTAGGCTTATTAACTTCCTTTCAGATATTCTTAGGTGTGTACTCATCTTTGTAGCAAGCTTTCCAGCAAAAATAAAACTCTTTGGAGAATATCCAAACAGTCCTTTCTTAGGATGAAGTTGTATAATGACAGAATCAGTTTTTAGTTTGAGATAACACAAGCGTGATGCTGAGTGAAAACAAGAGATTAGCTAGCCTGGTATTCAACCTTCAAGCTGTGGAAGGTATGAGCTCCATGGTGCAGCTTATTCCTTAGTGTGATGGCCATGTGAACTGCTCAATTGCAATACAGTCATTTAAACAGTCCATAACAACAGCAACTGTGCCCTTGAGCTCCCAACATCCACAGAAGTTTTGTCAGGACTACTAAGGGGACACAACATTGTCTATTGCCTTTAGTACCTGCTTAGTATGAACTGCTAATCATAAATTTGCCTAACTCCTTTTTGAACTGCTGATGCTATTTGCTTCTACAATGCCCCGGTCAACAGATTCTAGAAATTCATTACACACTGAATCAAGCAGTACAATTTCCACTCCCGCTGCAAATATGTTTTAAACACATCTCTTATTTCTAGTGCTACAGGGTTTGGAAATACCAGCTCTGCATGGACTCAACCTATCACCTCAGTTTTGTAGACCTCCCCATTCCCAGCCTTTTCCTTTCCAGAATGAGGAATCCCTAACTTTTTCATAAAGAAGATGCTCCATCCCTTTGCCATTCTAGTTGTCCTTCCCTGCATATTCTCTAACTTTGATAGCTAAAGCAACCACTTTGAAAATAAGTTCACAATCCAGAAGAAAACGATACTTCCATTCTGAAAGAGTTAAAGTATCTGGAAAATTCGTATTTGGTCTAATATTTATGGAAGACCTTGTAATTATCGCTACGAGCTAACTTTAAAATATCTTTAGCTCCAGCTGAATACCTGTAGCTGTCAATCTATCAAAATGCAACTGAAACTATACTGATTTTACTCCTTCCAACAGAGATTTTAAACATCATATCTGTGTGCTAAAGCCTAATAAGCCACACGATCTTCCCTTTACCATTTCTTATGAAAGCCTGCTTTTTTACTGTCTCCAGTTCTATATGAAGCAAATGATCGGGTAAATTTAGCACTGCATTCATTCACAATTCTATCAGAGAGATGCAAAATCAGGTAATCTAAATTTCCACAATTCTTCCCAACATTAATATCCACACAGCCCCAGGCTGAAAAGTGAAAGGATTAAAAAAACCTACTTTGCCTTTGTTATTGAAATTGGCATTTTGCTTACCTTGGGCTGGGAAAAAACCTTAAGTAACATTAAGTAACAGCTCCATGACCCAACTACTTCTGAATTTCAGTCTGAACCTGTACCAAAAATATTTGAGGACTGATTCTAGAAGGAGCATTCATTTTACTTACACCAATAATATTTGGATGGCTTAGCTCCTGTAACAGCTTTATTTCCCTGAGGGCTGTCCTGTTGATTCCTACATTGATGGGAAGAAAAAAGAAGATGAAAGAACAAAATGAAAAACTGGATTAAGCTCCAAATAAACCTCTCGTTCTGTTACTCAATGACTTTTTACTATTACAAATTACATTCTCACCACTCAACAATTTGTTAAATAACAAGTACATTGCCATAAGTAAATTGCTGCAGAATAAAAGTGGGCATACATTTTCTTCCACAGCACATACATTTTACATCACAGTAATCCAGTTTAGATTATGAAGCAACAAGTCTCCCTTTTGGCAAAAAGGGAAAGTCCTAGCAAAAGCCTAGGGGAAAAAAAAAAGATCACCTTTTACATGGTATTGAAAGGCTTGCTTTTATTTTTAAGAAAAGTTTAATCTTGCAAATATCAGTTCTTCAACATATCTCACTTTCAGAGGAAGGCATACTGACAAAGCTCATGAATAAACTTCTTTTCTTTTTGACACAGCACTGTTTAATAATACAAGACATCTGTTTTTCTACATTCATGCTGTGGCATAAATAAGGCTTAAAAGGTAATTGACCAAAACCTGCTTGCCCTTGCTTCAATCTTTTCATAGCCAGATTTTACAGAGGAAAAACCAGGGGATGATGGGGGCAAATGGTGCGCTTTGGCAGTCACACTGGTCGCACTGCATCAAACCATGATTCCTGTAGGGTACAAATTTCTCCTTGAAAAGTGCTGATATGTGTGGCTTGTATAAAATCTGACAGGCAAACAGTGGTATGTCATACAGGAAGATTTAGCTGCACACGAGCTCAAAACCAGTGTTCTCCTAAAACCTAGGATAAAATTCAATGCTAATTTCTGGCATTGAAAGTTTTGGGCAAAGCTACATGGATTCCTTTACACTCCTGCTTTGCCTGTTTTAATTACCTATTTTGGAATCAAGTTGACAATGGCTGCTTTTGGGTGAGCAAAGCCTTAGATGATTAAAAAAAAAAGAAAAGAAGTATGCCATGTTATAACACAGAGAAAGCAAATACAATCATTATTTTCAATAACATCTTTCAATTATAGCTAGACACTATACAGGCCAAAGCAGTAACTGTCCCTAAGGGCCATTAGCCCACTGAAGGCCAGGTGGATCATGACTCTTGGGCAGCCAGCTCAACTGTGAGACTCTGTGATGAGTTTTGAAGTTTTTTTTCCATAGAATGGAACTGGAGAGTTGATAGCAAAGATTGTTCACTGAAAAGCTGGTGACCTGATGGAGGATCCCGGAAGGACAGCAGCCTGCACACAAACAAAATTCTACTACACCACACAAGCTGTAAAAGAAGACCAAGATTAGTGAGTTTTGATATATAATATCCACGCCTAGAGGCAAGTGGCTGATCAGAGCATACGCTCTACAGTGCTGAACATCAAACAAACCCACACAGAGACAAAAGTTTTAAGATTTTGGCTTTAATAGAACAAAGAAAATACCTGAAAACAGATGCAAATACTCTCACCCATCTTAAAAATTTAAGAGATGCATTAATACAAAGAGGTATTCCAAATTCAGTGCTGGTGCTGTTGTTATTATTTTATGCTAGATTCATGTCTATATTCCACTAAAATTGAGAAGCTAAGCAGTTATATACTCATATTTAGATATATACCATGCATGCAGGTATCTTTTGTCTGTCCCTGCAGTTTGCAAAGCAATCCTCTACTAAGTCTTACATTGTTCACTGAGCTCATTTTTCCCAGCCAAGGTATGGTATGTGAAATTAATGTACCAATTTACAAAAACAAAGCAAACAAAGCACAGCTTCTACAGCAAGAATTTGTTTTGAAACTCACCATCTTTAGCTTCCGATCTATGCCCCAGTTTAATCTGAAAATAAATGTTTCATATTATATAAGATTAAGACATCTGCCCCAACAGTGGGGAACACATTCTTTACTATGAGTTTCAGCATAATGAAGCACTTTACCAGCTAGGTTGCTTTTAGTTGTTTTGGGTTTTTTTCCTTAAAAAAATAACTGTTCTTACAGCATTACTTTTTACAAAAGCTTAAAAAAGCCATGATGGCACTGAAAGCAGACATAACGCAAACTGACAGCATAAAATGCTTCGTAGCCACAAAGCTTTATTATATCACTAATGAGTTTCTTCGCAGGGAGAAATGAGAGCTAAGTAATTGACAACCACCTTAGCATGATTCTAGTAAAATTAGCATAGGCTGTAAGTTTGGGCTGTAAACTGAGCAATCATCTGCCTCAATCATCTACTGCCCTGAAATTTCAAGTCCAGAATCGCATCATGGATATTTCCAGATGACAAAAGTTAAGAAAATATTCTGATAAAACCAAGAATGCTTTTCACAACAGCTGCTACCAGTAGCAACCATACAACAGAAGTATCACAATGCTAAAAGGGATTAGTGCATTAAACAAAATTACTTACTATTGATACAATTCAACTTGCTCAGTAAAGTAGGGTCTTTAACTAAAAAAAAGGTGCTGTAATGTGCATTTTTGTCCTTCACAAAGCATAGCTGAAGATTCATTTTTAATACAAAAACTTCCTGCAATCCCTTCAGATTCAGTGAAACACTTTATGACAACATAAACATTTTCATCATTTGTATCCAAACAAGTATGTTGCATATCCAAGATCACTTTCATATTTTATCAGAAAACTACCATATGGGTAAGAGACATTACTGGAAAACTCTCAAGTCTAGTTAGGCCTTCTGATTACCATCCATTATTGGCTGTTCAAACTGGCAGCAATGAAATAAAAAAGAGAAGTCCAAGGGCAATCAAAAGAGACTTCAGGGCCCTGGAACGATTGGTTGCAGGATCAAGAGCAGAGGTAGTGATTTTCTTGATCCTTCTGGTAACAAGGAATAACATTGATAGGAATAGGCAGATCCATCAAGTCAATGCATGACTGAGGCTGGTGTAATCACAAAAATTTTTGGTTCTTTGAGTATGGGATGATCTACTCAACACCTCGTCTACTGATACCTGATGAGATGCACCTATCTCAGAGGGGACAAAGAGTTCTAACACAGGAGCTAGTGGGGCTCATTAATAGAACTTTAAACTAGCTTGGAAGGGGGAAATGGACAAGACCAGCCTCACAGGCCAGTGATGAGCCACGGGATGGTGTGCCAAAACATAAGAAAAGAGTACTAAGGGCATCCCTCAATATGTTTCACAAGGTGTTGGCCACAAAGTACCACACTTGAAATGTTTCTACACTAATGTACCCAGCAAGAGAAACAAACAAGAGGACTTTGAAGATTCGTCCTAGTCCCAAAGATTTGACATCACTCACATAAGTTAAACCCGGTGGGATGAATTCTGAGACTGGAGTGCCCTGCTGGATGGTTACAGGCTCTTCAGGAGGGATAGGCAGGGCAGAAGAGACGGAGAGGCGGCACTGTATGTAATAGAAGTGTTAGAATGTATGGAGCTCACAGTGGGCAGTGGCACAGTTGAGAGCCTCTGGGTAAGAATCAAGGGGCCAGCATATAATGTGGATGTCATTGTGGGAATCTGCTACAGACCTCCCAGCCAGGATGATGACGCCAATGACTTATTCCTGGAGGAACTAAGTACAATTCCAAGTCAACTGCCCTGGTCCTTATGGGGGACTTCAACCTGCCAGAAATTAACTGAGAGCATCACACACCTGGTACAACCTGGGCCAGAAAATTCCTAAAAAACCTGGATGATGACTTTATGGAGCAAGTCCTAAGGGACCTGACTCAGAAAGATGCCCTCCTTGATCTGCTGTTTGTTCACAGAGTGGATCCTGTGAGCAAACTGGAGATTGGTGGCCATCTTGGCCACAGCAACCGCAAAGGGATTGAGTGTAAAATCTCTGTTGACAGGAACAAAAGTGCCAGCAAAACCTCAACTCTGGACATGAAGGAGAGTGGACTTCAGGCTGCTCATGGAATTGGGAAAGTCTCCTGAGAAAATGTTTTTGCCGGTGCTGAGGTCCATCAGTGCTGGTCACTTTTTAAACTTCACCTCCATAGGGCACAGGAGCAGCAATTCCCAAATGTCGGAAATCAAGCAGGCAAGGCAGAAGGCTGGCTTGGCTGAGCCGGAATCTTCTCTTGGAAATAAGGCAAAAAGGAAAGGTGTATATGCCCAGTGGAGGCAAAGTCAAGTGACACAGGAAGAATTCAGAGATGCTGCTTGCTACTGTAGGGAGAAAATTTGTGCTGCCAAAGCTCAACTGGAGTTGAAGCTGGCCAGAAATGTGGGGGACAATAAAAAGAGTTCTTTCAAATACATTAATGGTAACTGGCAGTATAGAAATATCACCAGCCCGTTATAGGATGAGGATGGTCACCTCCTAAACAGGGACAGGGACAAGGCAGAGGTGTTTAACGCTTTCTGTGTCTCTGTCTTCAACACGGATGATGGACCAAGGGGGTGTCAGTGCCCTGAGCTGGAGACCCATGACTGTGAGAATGATCAACTCCAAGTTGTCCCTGAACTTGTGTGGGATCTGCCGCTCCAGCTGGATGCCTACAAATGTGTGGGGCCTGATGGGATTCATCCCAGAATCCTCAGAGAGCTGGCTGATGTCATTGCACAACCTCCCTCAATTATTTTTGAACTGTCTTGGGAATTCCAGAGAGGTCCCTGCTGACCTGGGAAGAGTTCATGTAGGCTATCTGGGCTCTGGATTTCAATTTCTGATCTCCAGAATGGACCTATATTTCTGGAAAAAGAGTGAGAATGGTAGAGAATTTGTGACTGCTGTTTAAAATTTTTCTTTGAGCCTGAAATAACTTTTGAGCAGAAAGAATGGTAATAAGTTTATCTTGTGTGTTGAGCTTTACTTGTCACATTAAAACTTTACAGGTTATTATAAAGGATACAAGTATTGTGTTGACACAGTCTCACATCAAGGCATATATGCTGATGACACTTCAAGGATTAGAATATCTGCATCAACACTGGATTTTACACAGGGTAAGCATGTACTATACTGACAGCCTTTATGCTGTAACAAAACTCACATGGGATAAAGTTCGAGTCTAAAGTCTGATGAAAGTAGTTTTGGAGTTGAGACACTCTCACTCCATACGCTTTAATATTACCTGTTTTGGAGAGACAATAGAAGTACCTGAAATGTTAAGAATTACTGATGCAGTTTTCATTTAGATACTTAAATAAAAGGTTCTCCAATTATATGTGACTTTAATTATCACTGCGAACTGGGTCTGGCTGGGATGGATTGAACTTTTTTCACAGCAGGTGAACTGTTGAGGCTTTCTCTTTTTTCCACCCTGCGCTTGCCCCGATGCGTAGGCTGGGGGTGGGCAAGAAGTGGGGAGGGGACACAGCTGGGGCAGCCGACCCAAGTTGTCCCTAGGGATATTGCATGCCATATAATGCCATGATCATTAGTAAAAACCTGGGTTAGAGAAGAAGGGGGGATTTTGCCTTCCAAGTTGCTTCTCTCTTGGAGACTGTTTTGTGTATCTGTCTGCTTATGGGAGGTGGTGAATGATTTCCATTGCATTGCTTGCTTTTGTTTTTTCCTCTTTCCTTCACCTGTTAAACTGCCTCTATAGTGTGCCTAGAGTGTTCTTGCTTTTGGTCTTCTTTTGCCTGGACTTCTGGCATGAGAATGGAATGAGCAAATGGCTATATGGATGCTTCTCTACTGGCCAGGGGTGAACCCAACAACACACTGCTACTGTATTAAACTGTATGACTTCCATAATTTCTGCAGTTATTTGAAACATTTGCAAGGTCTTTTTATTATTCAGTTGGTATCTATGTGGTTAACAGAAATGTTGTTCCTGCAGCAAAGCTAAAACCTATGAAGTGGCTTTTTTATAGTCTGCAGCTTAAATGTGTTAATAGTCAAATTGGTGTGTCTCACTATGATTTTCCTCTATGACTAAATATTCAATTTCTGCTGGTTTATACATTTTTTCTAACAACGTAGACTTCACATAGAATCAAAAGCTTTCATTTTAGAATACTCTTATGATACATCTGCCAGGAGATTCATTATATGTCTGCTTTGATACTGACAAAATTCATTATTTGCTTTCTCTACTGACAGGATCTTAAACCAAATAACTTGCTGTTAGATGAAAATGGGGTTTTAAAATTAGCTGACTTTGGCTTGGCAAAATCTTTTGGAAGCCCAAATAGAGTTTATACACACCAGGTAGTAACAAGGTAAGACATTCTGTTTTGTTTCTTAGACAGAGATTTAGTTGTTTTGTAGGTGTCTCTTGGCACCTCTCTCATGTCATATCAACATATTCAAAGAGTAGCATCTAGTTCATGTTATGTGGCAAGAGCCTCATAAAGGACATGCAGGGAAGCATTTTTTTAACAAAATCTCCATAAGAACTGCTACAACATGCATCCCCGGAGTTGTTCTTTGGTATGATACTCTTTTGAAATATATGGAAATAATATGTATCTTCCTGTAAGCCTGGTTTTGGGAGCAAGACAGCTGCTACTTTCTGTTAATCACAAGACCTAGAACCATTTTCGTAGCTAGTCACATTACCTATTATGAGACAAACACTTGAACCAATTAAAATATTTATTAATGGTTTTTATAGCATGCTTATTTAAAGTATGCTTTAAAAAGCAGGGCTGCAAAACATGCAATGTGTTTCCTTCTGACTGCTGTAATGCTAAAAGTATTCATGCAAAGCTGGTTTGTTTTAACATCTTTGTTCAAAAGGCAGAAATTCCACAGTAGTTTCAAGAGCAGTGTGTGTATCAGGTCATTGCATTAAACCTAATTGTTCCTAGGCAGTGTTAAGTAGCTGTTTTAAACAACAAAGCTCATTTTGCATAAAGCTAGCCTCAATACTTAGGTTTGTTGATTTGGAGATTTTTGGAAGCTGGAAGGAGTTCTGTCTTGCTGTCATTCCTTCAACATAAAATTTTAAGAAAATTTTGTTTTATAACCTGCAAACCTGCAAGTTGAAAACTTTCTTCCTTGGCATGTCTGCAGTTCCATTGCTTGTAATCAGCTCAATTGAAACTGCAGTTAATTTGTGGTTGGATGTGACCCTGTGGTGAGGAATGCACAAATTTTTTCAGTCTTTCTTAAACAAAACACTTTGTAGGGTAGACTACAGCTCTTCAGTGTCTGAAAAGTATATAGGCAGAAGCAGCATCCTGTTTTTAGTATTTGCATTGCTACAATATACAGCATCTGACATGAGCAAAGCCAGATCATTTTCCCAAAATGTATTTTCTTTTCAGATGGTACCGAGCCCCAGAACTATTGTTTGGGGCTAGAATGTATGGTGTTGGTGTTGATATGTGGGCTGTTGGTTGTATTTTAGCCGAATTGCTCCTCAGGGTAAGTCTTCAAATGTAAGCATTTTGTATTTGCTCTTTAGTGCACTACAGCTTTTTATGTGGGCTGCTTCTCTCCTGCTAACATTAGCAGGTAAAGACAGTTAGGGTAGAAGAAAGTTTCCAAAACCTTGTTAACTGTAATGAAAGGGAAGTTTTGCAATAGACTGAGGTTTCATAAGCATCCACAAGCATTGGAAGTCTTTTAAAACGGTTGGGTAAAAAAGTTGCAACAAACTGTCACAGTCTTGCTTTGGGAGATGCCAAGTAGGTAAGTCTCCCAGACCGCTTAGTGTTACAGTTTCACACAGCCTTCTATGAGTTTCATTCGCTAGCCTTCTAGAAATGTGACATCCTAGATACATGCATACACTGTCCCTTATACATTGTTTCTCATTAACTGCAAATTATAATCACCACACCTTAATTGTAGGTTTATGTGTAATGAACAGAAGATCAATGTTTTTTCTAAACTGTGGTTAGTTGACAATACTAGAATGAAGCTCAAGGTTAACACTATGATAATCCTATGGCACTCCTCTGTATGGTACACAGATGTCATGGTCCTTAAGTATGTTTTACTGAACTAGAACGTTTACTATGCAGCTCTTTGGAGAAGACATGAAAGTGTCAGGGGGGGAGTGAAGGGCAGGGGCACAGACGCAGCTGAAGGCATGAAGTAGCCTGCAGTATCATTTATCTTCCATGACTAAGTCGCTTCTGCTTGGTTTCTACACCATACTTGGAATGCTTTTGTGGCTGTCTTATAACCAGACTGGAGAACTAGTCTGTGTGAAAACGCCTCAAAAGAAATCCTTTGCCTTCATTTGCCACACCAAACAGGTATGCTGGTACGATTTGGTTGGCAGTTCAGACATATATTGGCTATTTAATGAACACTAGTGATGTTTACATAAATATGCATTAGGCCTGGTAAAGTGATTAAATTTAAACAAAGTGAGAAGACAAATAAGTTGTTGAATTTATTGAATTCTTGAAATCAAATAAATTGTTGAACTGATTCTTTGGTTTCTCACAAAGTAGAAAATGTCTTATGGTTCAGTTTTATCACTGTGGTGTTTTTAAATGTATCTGTCCTTTTTCAGGACAATGCAGCTTCTGGGAGCTTTATGAAAGCAGTTTATATTTGAGGGGCTTTCATGATGCCAAAGTTTAGTGTGGGTATTTCTGTGTTGCTTAGTTAAACACTGTCTCTAATTCTTTATAAATTTGCTTTGGTCACAAAGTTTCTTTTTACTTCCATTGTGTGCAGGGTATGCAAGGTACAAGTTGAACTGGGCAGATATCCCCTTTTCAGTCTTCTGCTTAGTTTAAATAACATGTAATACTGATAAGACAGTCTTCTATTCTAGTGGGTCTCTAGTCTCCCTCGTGCTTAAATCTCATTTCCTCAGTCTAACTTCTGTAATCCAGTTACAATTCACTTTAAATGTACTGAATATATGTATAAAAGCTAACTTCAGGGAACATATGATGGAAGGATCACCATGACTTTGACAACTAAGATGCAAAATCTTTCCTGTGTTTAGTTATTTTACATTAATGTGGTTGTGTAATTTTATGTTTATTTCCCTGCTGTCAAGTCAACATTATGAAGTCCAGGTTCAAGAAACTTTCAGAATCTATTTGGACATCAGTAGAATGCCTCAGTATTCAATGTAGCTCTTTGTGGAGAGATGGTATACAGAGGTGTTTTGCCCTGCAATTATGAGTGATCACTCAAAGCTCCACTCTAAAACTGAAGTTCAGAAGTTAATTAAATCAAATGCTGTTACCTTCTAGGTTCCTTTTTTGCCTGGAGACTCTGATCTTGAACAGCTGACAAGGATATTTGAAACACTGGGCACTCCAACAGAAGAGCAGTGGCCTGTGAGTCCTTTTGTTTAACAGACTGACATTAGTTTTTCTTGATACTCTGTATTTTAACTTCTGAAATTAAATGAAAGGTTATACCAGAATACTTGAGTAGATTTTCAGAAGGCAGTTGCCTCATCCCACAGAGCAGCTGAGATTTGTTTGTTTCTCTTGACAAACCTCTGGTCAATAGCAAGATTAACAACACTTTATGGGTTCCTTTCTGTGTGTGCACAGTTTCCTGTGGTTACTGGTGTGTAATTATTGTTCGTTAATGTTTTTGGGATGCTTATTTAATGAATTGTGCTTTAACCTGTAAGGCTTTCATGACTTTCAGAAGTAGGAACCATTTATAGGGATCTAAGCTGGCCACGGTAAGTTATAGTGTGGAATACAGTAAGAAACACCAGACCAACAGCTTTAGGGATGAACAATTTGTCTCAGCAACAGTACGGTAACAAATACAAATTAGTAGTACAATTATCTCTGAAGTGACAATAAATTCAGTAATACTAGGCAAAACTTGCCGTCAGGACACATAGTGACCTACCTAACTATGAGTATTAAGCAGACTGACAGGAAGTGGGGCATAACTTCTGATGAGCAACTTGCACCAGGAGTTCTGAATTCCCTGATCAGGAATTGTTGTTGAGCTATGGAAGCACTCACTGTACTTGTTAACCTCCGCTCCCTCTCCATGCTGCTTTTCCTTTGTGTGAATTGTACTGGAATGCTATGGTACATGATCATGAAATGGAGATGTAGCCATATGGAGAAATACCGTATGAGGCACTGCTAGCCCCACACAATTCTGCTGTTGCTCTGGGATTCTGAATGAAACACATAAAGGTTTTTGCAGTGACATTTCTGCTTTCTTTGGAGAGGAAGAGTTAAGATATGGGTGGGGAAAGGAGTGAATAGGAGATTGGCTAGCACAACAGAGATGATACATCCCCAAGTTAATTTGCAAGTCCATGCATTTCAATAATTGAAAATTCTACTATCAAGATTGTAACTGATTGCACACATTTTTCACTTTATTGTTAATATTTTATTTTGCTTGGACAAACTTGCTGAAGTGTGATGACTAAATACTTAAAATACTACTAAAGTATTACATTTGGATAATTGTTACAAGATCATTTTTATGCTAGAATTTGAATACAACGGTATTGATTTCATACCTACGGGAGAAAAAAGTATGCAGTTCATCTTCTGTTTGACTGCTTGGTGTATATTTTCCTTCCCTCCTCCAACAGCCCATATAAATTTTCAGTCGTGCATTTCAAAAGTAGCTCAAAATGCAATTAATTTTATTAATGTGGAGAAAGACTTGCTCTTTTGTGACTATTTTCCCTCCCACCATGTCAGATCACAAAAGGAACCTTTATTTCATTTGTCTGCATCCACTCTAAAGTTCTTTTTTACTTCCTTTCTTTGTTAACACTTTTTCCTTTTGGCCTGGTCACTGCTAAAGCAAAGGAAGGACAGATCATTTGGAAAGGGAAAGTGTAAAACAACTGGAACAGTTACTGAGAAAAAAAAAAAGTCTTTATGACCCACTACTCCTACATTTGTTATTTCAGTGACCAAGTATTAGCAAGGTGTTTTGAAAAATGATTTGCTTCTGCTGAAAGACAGCCATATGAAGTTTGTTTTCTGTGAGAAACTGAACTCTTAAGTAAAAAAACATATATTCCATTTTTGGTCTTTGTAGGGGATGACGAGTCTTCCAGACTATGTCACATTTAAATCTTTCCCTGGAATGCCACTTCAACATATCTTCAGTGCGGCTGGTGATGATCTGCTAAATCTTCTTCAAGGCTTATTCACATTTAATCCTTGCACTAGGGTTACAGCTACTCAGGTATAGTACACTTGAGTTATGTCCTAATGTGCATTAACCTACTGTTAATATCAAATAAATGTGTTTTGAAGCCAGTAAGCCAGGTTTGAAATGAAATGTTACATGACTTTCCAAAAACATAATCCCAGTGTTTTAGAAAGAGAACTCTGAAAGGCATGGCTAATGCTAACTGATTATCTCTGTTCCCAGTGTAGAGCAAAGGTAGACAATTAGAAGGTGTATGAGTCATCGCCTTTAGACAGTCGTATTTGACATTTGGAATTCAATCACCTAAAGCTTGAAAGTTAAGTCTTAACATAGCGTATCCTATTCCCTGGGTTTGAAAGATTTTCAGCCTTACTTCATCCGGTGTCGTCTTCAATTTCATTTAAACTTTCATGATGCTTTTTTAACGCAAAATTCTGTGGTGATTTTAAACCATGATGCTCATCTAAATATCCTTTTCCATTATACTTTCATTTTCACTACTCTCTGATGATGACAAAGGAAGGACTTCAAAGGAAAATCTTGCAGAGTGTTCTAGTTCATAATATTGATTTCTGTAATGAGGAAGATATACTAGTTGGCAGTTTGAAAAGTGTATTTCTGTCACTTTACACTGTTTGGGAGGCATGCAAGAAACAGAGCTGTCCCCTTAAGGCTAGGGCTCCTTCATTGCTGTTTAGATAAGGCAGATCTGAATCTAGGGGATTAGTGTAGATGTAATGTATTTTTTTTATAGAAGACTTTTTCAGAGTACCTTCAGACTTTTTTGGCCACCATCTTTAAGAACATTCAGTATAAGTTTCCAAATTATTAGTTCTGCTATGCTTGGGACACCAGTTCATATGTATGAAGTGATTTTCCAGATCCTATTGTAGGACAGTGTATTTTTCCAGTCTAGACTATTTATTGGCAATGCCACAGTTTAAGGCAGGAAACAACTTGTGCTTACAGTATTGGTTTCATTTATAACTAGCACTGAATATCATGTAACTGGCATTAGCAGGAGTAATGATTGCCTAGGAAACACCTTAGCCACTTTTTGTTAACCACACTTTATAGAAGCTGTGAAGTTCCTAGAATTTAAAATAAGGTATGTAATTCCACTACATGAAATCAACGTTGCTCACTTGTGTTTGTCTTCTGCTCCAATAGAAATTGTGCCTTTCTCATAGTTTACAGGGTAGAAACAGCACAGTAAAGAAATCTTAAAAGCTAACAAAATGGCTGGTGTCCAAGTCCTGGATCTGATCAAGACTTCAGATATATTCCTTTAATTTTTCTTTAATTTTTCTTTAATTTTTCTTTAATTTTTCTTTAATTTTTCTTTAATTTAATTTTTCTTTAATTTAATTTTTCTTTA